ATGGTTGAATTCATGAATCGTTTTAAGCTAGACCACCCTGTAAACACTAGACGGCTATCTCGTCCTAATATGGGACTCCACGATCATGTACGCGGGGTTCCAACCGTTGTGTGCCGGCCTAATAGTCCAAAGGTTAAGCATTTGCGTGCGAGACCAAAGGTCCTAAGTTCGGATCCGTTGTACAGGATCATGGATATGCACGTCTAAGGAGTCCTGTACTAAAACGAAACAGCTATCCAATGCTTGCAGGTTTTCCTTAGTGATCTAACTTCAATTGACTCATGATTTCAACTATGAGAATTCATTCTTATTTGATCATTTCTATTATGATCAACACTTACGTAATGGAGTCAAATAATATAAAGGGTTCAAATGAAGGGTCATGTCATTAAGACATATTTATTCATTTCTTTGATCTCACTTATTAGGGAGGGGGTTAAAATAACCTTAGACGATTTAAATTGTGATTGGTTAATAGTTTTTTTTTTAAAAAAACGTTGTCAAGGTCATATCATTGTCATACGATATGGCGTGATTTTCAAGGTGAAAAAAATGGGCCGATTTCCCCAATCAATCAATATATAATCGATTTCAATAGTCGAGTTAAACATGCGTTGACATAACAAAGAAATAAACTAGATGACGGTCAAGTTTTCTATGTCAAACACAGTAAATATATGGCCTAGATTTAAGACTGGATATTTCTCTGGATCTAATAAACAATACTTACTTGAGATGGATAGTGGTTAGTAGTGGAATCCAGTTTAACGCGCATTTCATCCTATTTGGGACTCGTCAGTTTGATGAACCTGCATTTCAGATTTGTTGATGTTCACTCTGGGACATCGAATCCAGTACCTTTCACTTCAAACGCCATCGCGTTATCCACTTAACTACTGAGTCCTGATAGCCATTTGCTTGTGTAATGGAATGAAGTTTTAAATTCACATGGTATTGTTTGTTCTAAATAGGACGAAACGCGCTTCCTGGATTCCACTGCTGGTCACTATCCATCTTTGCTTACAATGCTTGTGAATTAAGGCCATATCAAGGTAATACGCACAGTATGCACATATGCCGATTAGAGACTGACCAGTTGCAGTTCTAAACATCAATGGGAAGATTCAAACAAACAATACTAAGTGAATTTAATACTTACTTGATTAATATTAGAAGGAATTTTTGTGGATATTATAGTAATTTTAATAGTTGAGATCATGAGTCAATTGAAGCTAGACCACCATGGAAAACCTGGAAGCACTGAACGTCCGTCTCGTCCTATTGTGGGACTCCTCGGCGGTGATAGGTCTTGGGTTCGAATCTCGCGAGGTGGGATCATGGATGTGCACTGCTGAAGAGTCTCACAATAAGACGAAACGACCGTCCATTGCTTCCAGGTTTCGCATGGTGGTCTAGCTTCAATTAACTCATGATCTGAACTATTGAAATTACTATATTATCCACAAAACTCCCCTCTGATATTAACCAAATATTTTTCTTTGAATTGTGTCTGTAAATCCACACTCAGTGAATGGGATTAAATAAGCAACTGATCTAGATTCTATTGAACTAGACAAAAGTGAGACTTACTGACGAAACCAGATAAGAATTACATTATATGAGATAGGTTAACTGAAGATAAAAATATAGGGAGTTTGGTTCTCATCAATTGTTCATCGACGAACCTGAAGGTAGGATGTTTAGTTACGTGTGTGGATTCATGGATGTGCAGTACCAAATTAGAAGGGAACAGTTTCCATTGACGTCTGATCTTTAGTTTTGGTATCAATTAGTGATGATGAATATGATATTGAATCTGTATGGAAATCTCCACAAATTCACGCTAGTGAATAATGATTAACAGATTATTCACTTAGTGGATATCAGGACTCAGTGGCCGAGTGGATAACGCGATGGCGTCTGAACGCCAAACGGTACTGGGTTGGAGTCCCAGAGTGAACATCAAATCTGGGATGCAGCTATATCCAGCCGATAAGTTCCAAATAGTATGAAACGCACATTCTGGATTCCACTGCAAGCCACAACCCATCTTAGCCAACTAGTTTTCTGATGTTGTTGATCCCAACCATTTAGTATCGAATAAAGTTTATAGTAGTAATACTGAGTCAGTTAATTTAGTATAATATAGAGGTAAACATAATTCAATGGTCTACGAAGTTGTTTCTTGTTTAAAATACACGAGTTATTTTAACAGTTGAGATCATGAATCAATTGAAGCTAGACCACCATGGAAAACCTGAAAGCACTGGACGGCCGTTTCGTCCAAATCCTTGATCCCGCCTCGCGAGATTCGAACCCAAAACCTATCAGTCTCGCGCCCGAGCGTTTAACCACTAGACCACTGAGCTGGCCGGTATCCGGCGGTGTTAATGTCTAACTTCAACACAAGTTATTGTTTGGATCCTATAAATAAACACTAACAACAATAGAGATTACAAAATAAGTGACTACAGTACTAGGTTTTCCAGTAAATAAAGGGAATAATGTTTTATGATTTACAAAGTGGAAATTTGCTAAAAGCCACAGAACACTAGACATTTGTTTCTATCCAATCTGATATTCCACGACAGTGTAAACTTACAGAATTATCAGGGGTTTGAAACCAATTCCTTTAGGTCACTTAGTGAAGAAGTGTTATGTTCAGTACAAAATCTAATAATCTGCGTCTTCAAACTCGGTCAAGTCATGCTTATTGTTAGTTAGTTACATGGCTTTTATTATATCAACTAATGAGTTATTTACGCTTCTATCTAGCAAGTTTTTTCAGTCTGTAGGAAAGTGTCAAAGGTTACTATTCAAATAAATTAATTATACTTATACTGCTAAGCACACTTATGCTAACTAACTACTTGATTAGTTTGTTAAGTGTTTCATCTTATCGATGATTGTTAGTGACCATAGAAACACTAAGTGAATTTAAACTTCACCCCATTTCACAAGCAAGTGGCTATCAAAACTCAGTGGCTTAGTGGATAACGCGATGGCGTTTGAAGTGAAAGGTACTGGGTTCCAGTCCCAGAGTGAACATCAACAAATCTGAGATGTAGGTACATCCAGCTGACGAGTCCCAAATAGGACGAAACACGCGTCAAACTGGATTCCACTGCTAGCCACTATCCATCTCTGCTTAACATTGAATAATTTCTTTGCTATGTTGTAAACTCAAAACTACTGTCTTAGGGGGCCACACCCCGAGCATTTGACCTAAAGGTCTATTCCACAAGGCAGTGGAGGATCGTAAGGAGATGCAGTCCCATGGTAGCCGGTGACCAACAGTTGGTTCATACGCCATTCGTTCCTTCAGGATACTGGAGCCCATTTGCACCATTGGTTTGGAATCAGGGTTTTCCAACTCCCCTAGGTGGACCAACCGGTTAAAGCGCCGGACATTCGCATTTCGTCCTCTCACTTTTGTGAACAACACCCCCGCCACAAGAAGGTAGTGAGTAGGACTTCCCTGGCAGAGGCTATATATTCGCATGGCCATATGAGAGCATTTCGAGAGGGAGAGGTGACTCTCCCCACTGTCGGCCGTACCAGGGCATTTGGGGGCTTGTCAATTTACGCTATATCGAGGCAATACGCACAGTATGCACATATGCCAATTAGAGACTGACCAGTTGCAGTCCTAAAACATCAATGGGAAGATTCAAACAAACAATACTAAGTGAATAGAAACGAGATAGTTTACTGATAAGAACTAGAAATGGGTGCGAAAACAAAACTATTGTCTTCAATAATAAAACTCCAGTTAGTGTTAATCAGTTGAACAGTGACAGAAACGGAACAAGAAGTATCTATTCAGTTTCAAGAAACATAAACATAACCTGTATGATTTTGTTCAAGGTTAGTCCACACGGTGTTGATCTAATGGTGATACCTAAGTTATAGGAATTTTTCGATTTATGAAATGGGTATTACTCCTTTAATAAAACTATGGAATTGAGGGAACTGAATTCACAGCCACATAAACGCAACGGTTCGAGCCGTGACAATTAGACATCAAAGCAATTAGCTCAGGATGAACAAATGCCAAGTAATTTGATCACAATTCAATCCCGAGTACCAAAAACGAAATATTTCAAGCACTTTCTAGAAATAAGGTAGTTAATGGCTTTATAGACTGATGCCAGGTCTTGACCGCCTACACATTTACTTCACCAACCATCTACATCCATAAACACTATCAGCCGAGGTAGGGAATCGTTGGACATACGTAATCTACACTTATAAGCGTATTTTTCTAGTAATTGAAATCAAAATGGGCTATTTCTGTTGTCACTGGAATAGCTATTTATACCAGTTTCAGTGAATATACAATCATTTTCTTTAAAAGGTTGTACTATATAATGAACATGGTTACCTCCTAACGATGTAAAGTGGCTAAATACTCACACTAACGATAATGTATGTTCGCGAGGGAGGGAAGATTCGTATGTACAAGACTTAATCAATTTAGTCTGGGGTTAACAAAAACATGGTCAAATTAACCTCCTCATACGTTACGCGTTAACGGACATGGACTAGCCAGTTGGGGTCCGCCAGATTATGACAAAACAGAATCTGGTACGTATGTACATCTGTTTAAGTAGCAGGTGTCTTCACTCAGTTTCCAAAATCTCCTTATACATTTTTCCTCTTTTCGACCTAGTCTTCTCTGCAACTACTGACATTAATACGAGTCAAACTACTTTGGGATTAATCTTAAAATAATTTTATCTGTGCTAATTTCGTATAACAACTAGGACGGATGCACATATTCGGCATGTCCTACGTTATGTATGCTTGGCTGGTTGATTCTATACGTGCTATGGATAAATATATCGCACTCCTTAACGAAGTGAATCTAGTCAACGCAAAATAGACGATTCACTAACTCTTTTGACCACAGAAAACAGTAATATTTAAGTAATAGCATAGATCATAAGCACGCAAATGTAAAATATCCTACCCATTACTGAGTCTTAACAATTACAAGATACAACAATAAGCAGTATTTATTGAAATGCGAGAATGATTAATTAATATAGAATGATACATGCATAGCAAAATTTATCCACCGGTGATTATCATTGTAATAAAAATAGTAGGAATACAAGCAGTTACAAAAAACCCTCAGCAAATATCAGTGTTCATTTGGAGGCGTTAGGATAGTCGTTTATAATTGCGAATGGCAGTAACGTCACCAACAGTCACAGTCTAAAAAGGAATACATATCAAGAGTGAGAAAATATAAGTTACTTACCGTTTTCATAGTATCACCATCCACTTCACGAACGATTACAGTTGTGTTTTTGGGATCTACTTGAGTTTGCGTTAACTTCGACTCGGAATTTTTTTCAACAACTGACTACAAGGGAATTAAGCAAATAGCCAGAGTGAAAATATTATTCTTTCATGGGAATAAAACGCGTTTGATAACTGATGACTATAGCAGTAATGATGTGGTGCAATGAGTATTTCTGGGTTTTTGGTCTTTGTGTTATGGGTGGCAGCTACTTACTAACATCCATTTTTTTGAAATTACATCTAGTTGTGTTGTCTCACTTACCGTTTTGGTTACTTAAATGTCGGTGTACAATGATTGAAATTGAAAGAAGTGACCTCGACCATACACGCAACTACTTGTGGAAGGCTTTAACATTAAGTCGATGTCCGCATAACGGTTTACTCTGCATCACTGATCAGCCCGAAACCTAATAATAATAATAGGTTGGCTATTGAGGAATAAAGGAAAGAACAGGTAAAAACGCGGATGAGTTAATAACTACGCACAAATACTTGGTTTGGTGATTGGAAGCTAAGATCCATTAGATCAATCCCCATGAATTAACAACTGATCAAAGAAATGTCGTTATTTAGTTATTGTTTCTTAGTAAGTATTGCATCTTTAAAGCACATAAATACCTAGAAGCCAAAAGTTTATTTACCTTAACGTTTCTGCCGTCACTTGTTTTTTCTTCGAATTCCTCGCCGAACTTGAACATACAAGAAAGATTTTTGAAAGTTGACTCTGTTAACATAGTCATTTTATCCCCATCCATTGTGAAGGTTACAGTTGGGGTCACTGTGTTCCCAATCTGTCGAGTTGCCCATGAGACACCTGACAGGAAAATATAAATAAATAAAATTCCCTATTTAGTTGATAAAGAAATACTGAAAATGTATACAGAGAAAACCGGAACAGAGGATGTGGTCAACACGAAAGAGATAAACACATGTTATACTTTCAACACTTAACCAATGATCACAAGATACGAACAATGTATGCACGTAAGTTATAAGAATTAAAGACATAACTGCCTCATACATGAGTGAAGGTTTTGCTGTGTGGACGTTATTTACACTGAGAAATAACACAGAAATCCCTAATCAACAAACAGCCGTTCACTAGTTAGTCAGTCAGTCAGTTCACTAGTTAGACTATTAATGTAAACATCTGTAAATATCTAGTTGCATTAACCTCGGAGTTGTCCCAAAGATATACATAATTTTGGTCTTCATTATGATTAGTTCTCTTACTGTTTGATTACTGAAGTAATATTTCATTTTGGATAGGGCAAAATGTTTGGACGATAAAATGCTGAGCACTTGTACATACCACTCGCAAACCACACAAGACACATAATAAAACAGTTTTGGAAAATTAAAAATAAACACCAATTCCACAACTGGGAAGAATATGATACTAGAAGCACGAGGAAAAACAAAAATCATAAGTATCTTACATTTGCTCAAAGACGTATACAACTATAAATTTTAATAATGTGCAGTTACCTAGCTTTGACATGACAGCATCGAAGTTGTGTGACTCGCTAAGTTTCCACTTTCCCAAGAAACCAGACATTGTTTTCAACTAGTTTGATGCTTCTGATACGCTTGAACGACCACCGATTTTTAGCCGATTGTAAATCTGATACTGATTTTCTGGTGTAGGTTCTGTAAGGTAGAAAAAACGCAGACTAACGATAATACTTCAGACGCTGCTAATTTTTATCACAATAGATACAATACTCTTGCAGAGGTGTCAAACGCGGATCTGCTTGAGGTGTTCAATGCCGTCTTACTCATGCCTAACGAAAACTAAATAGTCTTTATTTCCAATATAATTGAAACGAGGTACACAAGAGCTACTATCCATGTATAAAACAAAATCGCCTTTATAAATTTATCATCAGTAACACTGATGGCTATAAAAGTAGGGAAGGATTCATAAGAGCTCCTCTTTCAGCCTATGTTGCGAAGGATGGTACATAATTACTAGATGGAGGATTTACTCAATAGGTGACCATGGTCTGGCTGCTTAACTGATAGAATGAATATATTATACGCGATTATGGTTATTAGTAGGTGTATGCAGACCATATACTCAATAGTTGATGACAGTGTGTTTCTATGTAGTTCTTCAGTAAAACTTAGCAGCTTGGTTTGGACTTCAAATAATAAACCAAACTAAGGTCCACGACGATGGAAAACGACCAACCAGACTCATGGACTCACTAGCGATTGATTAAACGCCAAAGCTGATACTCCGCAAATTGTCCTTGTAAACTTGTGTATAAAAACAATCGTCCAATGACACCCTTCAATACTTCAGTCAGACTTGTTCACTGTTCAAAAGATAAGGCTTACGGTTAATCGGCTTGTGTCAATCAATATCAGTAGTGCTTTGCTACAAATTCAAAGGAATTATGTCAAGCATTAGTAGAATGCCATTAAGAGAAGCTCTGTTTTTTTATTTACGTATTTATGGTTCGTTAAATAGGTGAGTTCTATATATGCTTTACCGCTTGATTTTCTTGAAAATTCTAGGATGTCCTTGTTTTGTTGTTTCAACGCTCAGTCAGTTTTACTTCAATTATCTATTAGACTTTGTGTCCTTGCTATTTATATCAAATATTCACTCATGTTACTCTAGCGTCCAATAATGTTCCTTTAGTCCACAAGTCGAAAATATGAAATTCCGATTTTGTTGTTCTTACACCCCCCGTGATATTACAATACTTAAACTGCTATTCATTAATTGAACGCTATGTTGTATGTAAGTACTCTCAGTGGTACAGTATGATATTAGAATGTTCCGTATTCTAGTTTTACAACTATTAGCCAATAACACCTTCTAGACACCTCAGTTGTCTTAGTTTACTGAATTTTCTCTCTACTTCTCCTCTTAGGCCAACAAGTAGGAGCCAGTATGGCTGAGTCGTAATCAATCTGTTACAACAAATTACTCAATTATTATCTCGCAAGTACTCCTATCCTGTGCTGGCTAACTAGTTTTCATGTTCCGCAAGTCCATGAGTCCTCGAAGAAAGTAGTAGGGCATATCGTGGGGCTAAGACTCGGTGACTAATATAACATTGCTGTCCGTGACTCAGGATTGATCATAGGTTTGTTTCTCAATCTGTTACGATTGCAACGAGACGCCAAATTGTGCTTTCGATATTCATAGTTTTCCGAACGACATGATAATTTACTGTGCTCTCCATATAGATTACCTGTTAGTCATACTGCACCTGACCTACTGAGGGTGTTCGATTTACTCCTCTGCAGACGCTTACGGTGTCAAATCACATAGAGCCTCGAACTTCATTATCAACATTCAACATCTTTTACCCCTCACAATACCATTGGTAGCCCTGAAAATGTGTATCGCCTGATAGTTCTCTTTAATCAAGTCTTTCTTTGTTCATAAAAATCAGGCAATTGAACCCATAACTCGCTCCTGAAATGAGGAATAACGAACTGATCACAATGATTAGTAAAAACAAATTGAAATTGGTGAAATATCAACAAACGTTCCAGTAATTTGTTCATAGGTCGCATCAGCTAGCCATTAAGTCTGTTGGACTCGATATATCCTAAACGTATATGAGGGACCCATAGTAACGACCACAAACGCCCGGGTTCCAGAACCTAGTTTCTTGTTAATCAAAGTACACGGCTCTACTGTACTGGGTAGTTATGTTTAGTTCATTCAAAAGGAATATTCAAAATTGACGAAAATAATGAGCATTTCCTGCCAACAAAAGGCGAAATTGTATCCAAAAAATAAACATTTTGGGTCAGTCAACTCAAGCAAGTTCAATCTAAGAACAGTGAACCAATATGTCGTCCACCAGAATCAGTGTTCGTGTAAAAAATGATTTACCAGTCAGGAAATGCTGAAATAAGAATAACATTGAAGAAACCGTGAGAGTGAGTAAATATCAGGAAAAAGAAATCCTAGAACATAGAATTAGATTGATACATAGTAAATAAACGAATAAGACGACAAACATGTTGATCACGGAAGGACGAGATGTTAATGTCATGTAGCATACACACATGTGGGATTTCCCAACTCCCAGACATACACTCAAATAAACACATAGGAACAGATCTTAAATTATCTGCTATTCGGTACCAATCAGTGGGTAACTAAACGCTACTGTTATGTGTGAATTCAATCTGCTCGTGCACAACTGTTGTTTTTTGTAGGCCTCATTCTGAGCACAGGCTTGCACAATCAGTTGACTTAAGGAGCGAAATTCACTATCGCCTCTCATTGGGCACAAATGGATTTGAAGATTGATGCCATTGGTCTCGCTCAGTCGCATTAACGTTTCATCTCTTGGCGGCAACATTTCCCTATTTGCCACAATGGTTGTAGTTAGCATCTTGTCCAGTGTTTTTACATGTCATGGTTGGAGCTCCAAATAATTGAAGATACACAGTGAAAGTGTTGAAAATATTTGTTTGCATTGTTGTTATAGTTAAGACTTTGGCCAAGTAACTTCTATTGCACTAATGATTGAACTTGTTCTCGTTTCTGAAAAGATCTGCGTCATTAATTAGTTTTCTCTAGTATAAATAAAGGTAATAGTGAATTTCATTGCAATTTGTCCTCAGCCCGGCAGTTGAACAAATAAACGAAAAGAAGTATAATGCCATTAATCACCAATCTGACCATCAAAAACATATGCCTTTTTGCGGACATTAAAGATTGAGTGTCGAACAGTTCAAGATTGATAGCATTTTACTTGAATCTCTCAGACCAAAAGCAAGCGAAACCGATCTAAAGGACAAGGTCAGTTGTTGGGTTTGAGCTGCAACTACGTCTTAATTGGAAGCCAACGGAAACTGTAGCTAATTGTCTGCAAATAATCAATTTACTGATCTAAGAGGACTAGTTCAACGACTACAATATCCCTAATGATGGAAAAACAAGAAATTGCATGACACTCAAATTGTTGCTATCGAAATTCGCGAATAACAGCAAACAAAAAATGGGAACGTATTTAAAAAAATTATATGGATATGTCGTGCAGGTATTCAATCTTAAACATATGATATTTAGAGCCGAGCATATACTTGTTAAAATGATTTGCATTGATCATGTAACACTTAGACGTCAAAAAATCCCATTCCCATCACTAGGGAATTGTCGATCGGTATGGCATGGTTCAGCCTTGAAGGTGTGGTCATTTCGTGTAACTCACCCCTTTCTACATGAAATATATTATTTTATCCCCAGCCTAAATTTATTCTTCAAAAGTACTAAACATCATATTACCGATTATCATGATAGAACGAGTCAGTACGGAAAATGATGTGACTTTCACATGAGATCTTATGGAACAGGTAGTCACATCATAATGAATCTACCGTTTTGCGGTTAGATCTACTGTTATGACAACAAATATAAATGTACTAATGACAAACTAGACCATTCCAAGGCTCTTTCTACATGTAACTGACTTTCTATCACCGTCAATTTTGCCAGATGTTGACGAGGTCAAGATATGGCTAGCGACAAAATGTAAAAGCGATGGCTTAGAGCTTCGGAATGGCCTGTATTCGTTTGTCCTCGCTCCGAGTACCGCATACGAGTGGCTAGCTACTACATAAAAAGATGTTGAGCTGTTGGAAAAGTTTCCATTCTCGGAATAGTATGGTTTACGTATGACTCTCCACTGGCTAGACTAAACCTATCTACATTGTCAGATAGAGGAACAAGAGGCGACTTGATCACAGTTTTTAAATGAATAAATGGTAGGTTTGCCCTGATTTTTCTTGTCTTTCAAAACGAAGATTGAATGAGGACAATTTAAAGAGGCTCACAATATCAGAACAAATTACTTGTCATCTGACTGTCGACATTCCCATCGAAGAATCTGCGAAAGGAATTCATTGACTCAACAAAATTATTTTTTTATTTAGTCCGTTAAACAGTGGTTTTGGGTCAAGGAAACGTCACTGAGCCCTAGTAAAATCATTAGGCAGACGAGTCACTGGGTGTCGAACAGTCCACTGATCCCTGTCAAGTCAATTGACAGCCAACATCTGTCAAGTGTTCGCACGTCATGGACAGACGCATGCAGTGGTCGCACTCTCCTCCTTGTTCCTACTCTTACTAATAAATTTCTGTAATAACGTCTTTTGTGTTATATGGTCTTCAAAGGAGCCATAGTACCGTGATACGATGAGAGGATATTCCACGTTGGGTGCTGACCACGAGTTGTGACTATGAAGTTGGATGGTTCGTCTTACTATACCCGTCTAACTCGAGTAGGCGCTCCCAATCATTCGACACAGATCATCTACGCTGGTGGTCTACATTCGTCTTGTTTTAGCATTCAAATTTTCACTTTGTTGTTTTTTACATTGCAAACAACCAACATACAGCTTGTTAATGTAATAGTTGCTGGTATCTGTAAACCCTACTGTTCTGAGCCATATCCAATCATGCATACTACAGGACATACAAGTCCTTAAATTACTACGAAAATGAATAGAATTAGTGCAGTCGAGTGACTATAGTATCAGCTGCTGGTCATCAATTAAAAACTGAAATAGTTTTGAAACAACAACAGGAAGCGATTGTAAATAAATCAGTCGGTTTACATAGGCTTGTGATAAGTGTATTAGATATTGGTAAAAGCGCAACATTTCATATTTAACCGTTACTTCAAGGTCACTTGCAACACGAGTTTGGTGTGTGCATTAACTTTTTGCAACATATTATATCTAAATCTTACTTTCTCTTGCATCTCAAAGCATGTTTCAAAAGAAGGCCTTTTTGATTTCAAAAGATTAATATATTGTGGCTATCATTTCCTCGTGTACTTTTGCATATATTAGGTTTTTGGCTGAATGAAATTTACAACGGTGTACGTTCATTTTCTTTTCGTAAGAAATTTAAGATCTTATTTAAGGTCGTATTTTGCCGTCAAGAATTTCAATTTAATTGTGGTTCGTTTTTTTGCTTTAAAACGCTTTAAAAGTAAATAACGAATCAGCTGGTGCGCACTGCGTCACTTTAATTTGAGGAGCAAGAAATCGATTGGCTTCATTAAATCGAAAGTTCTATTTAAGATCTTGTTGGAGGCAGTCAGGCCAAATTCTGATGGTCAATGTGTAAGTCTTCAGTAATAAGGATAGTAGGTTGATGAACATGTGTTAATCCTGACAGATTTCCCTCCAGTGATGGTCCAGCTTCTTTTTGAAAATGTTCACTGATGGTGCTGATACCACTTGTTCTGGTAAAGCGTTCCAGTCATTGACCACTCGATGAGAAAAACGGGACCCCACCTTTAGTTTATTAGATTGCGGTTTCAGAATTTATTTCAGTTAACGTGACATTGTATTTGTGTGTTTTGATCCTGCTTTTGTGTATTTACTGCATCAAAGCATTCTTGGTCGACTGAGGCTTGTTTATTTGATAAGGTTGTGATTTATCTTACATATCTACTTTGCCTATC